AAAAACAGAATTTTACCAATTTCTTGCCATAATGCAATATAGAAATATAGAAATGCAATATATATTAAATATAGAAATATTTCTATCATTGACATATTGTATACCAGACCATATTATAGGAGTAAAGTTACTGTAGTTCTGTTACATTATAATGATTTTTGTTTTCTTTTGTTTGCTGATATTAAACCTACATGCAAAATAGCGCAAGTAACCACTGATATGTAAAGTAAGAACCTCATCAGCAACCTAAAAAAATTGCTGTTAATTCACACTTTCATACATGAACTTTTAAGTTGCTGCTGGGGAAGCACTGAAGGGTAATACTACAGAGTGTCACTTAAAATGGCATCTCTAAATCTGCTGGTGCTTACAATGCATTCAAGATGGTACTGGTGTCACCCAGCAAGTCTTATGGCTTTTGGAAATCTACATAAGTGACATTTTTACAGCTAAATATTATGCTTAGAATGCACATAATTATATAGGAAGATTTTTGATAAAATTAATGGTCTGGCAGCAGGGTCTCCAGATCTGTTAGGACATTATGGGGTACTTAAAGCATATCCAAACCCCCCATTTTCATCAAGTACAGAAAATAACTGTTGATTTGGCCACAGTCCTAGTGTTCTTGTGAGCTCAAAAGAAAGCTTAAACATCCCTATCTTTAGTGTGTAAACGAATAGTCCCATCTGTCCACAATGTAATAGACATGAACAAAGGCAGACATGTTTGAGGTCCATGTACATTTGCTATAACTCCATCCAGCATCAGACACACATACATTTCCTTCATAGTCTGGAGTGCATGGTCCATGGTGACACTGTCAACAACTATTCAATAAAGATGCCTGCCCTCAGCCAACACACCTGAGAGTCAATAACAATTACCACCAAAGTTTCATTGCGACAAAGGACTCCTTTCTCAAGGTGACAGAAACAAACAAATGTGAGGATCATAGATGGCCACATAAACACAAAAAAGTAATTTGTTTAGACTCAAAGGGGTTTATTTACTAAAGCTGGAGATTGTGAAATTAGGTGCATGTCTGCATAGAAACCAATCAGCCTCCAGGCTTTATTGCCAAAGCTTAATTGAAGGAGCTAAGGTTAGAAGCTGATTGGCTACCATGTACAGTTGCACCAGATTCTGAGTGAACCAGCTTTAGTGAATCTTGCCCAAAGGGACAGGGAATGTGTTATTTGAAGGATCACCATGTGGGAATAAAGGAAAAAAGCCTGAAAAAAGAAAAACAAAACCACCAATACATCTAAGGCTTGGTAATCTGCAATAAATTACATTTTTGTTTTTAGTTTTAGATATGCTTTAAGTATCTTATAATGCCCTAACAGTGCCTCCATGGGTGCTCCTCAAAAAAAGTTATTCGTGGTCATGCTGTGGCCTTTGGTCTTCAGTCAACAAGAACTGCATAGTGGGGCATGTGGTGGTGGTACAGCTTTTTCAATACAAAGAAATTTTGCTTTTTTTTAAGAAGCCAGGGCATATTTGGGAGTCATGGAAGCACCGCGAAGGCAAAACCGTATACCAGAGCAAGGATAACATGGATGTGTTTATACCTTATGTAACCGACTTGTTTGCAGGTTTACATCTTATAATGTTTAATAATAACTAGGTATTCTAAACTTTAGAGAAGAAATTAATAAAAAAACATCCATGCTAGCAATCACATGGCATGTTGTAGCTAGGGCTCACTTATTTCTCCACAATGGAAAGGTGAGCTGTCTAGATAATTCAGCTTAACAAAATGACAAGCATTGCAAACACTGGTCATGAATTAATGATGACCTTTTTGTCCTGTAAACGACCATCGCTATCTCAAGTTCCCACACTAATTAACCAAGGCAGGAGTCAGTGTAAGGGCCATATAAACCCTTAATAACCATTCACGTATAGGTCAAGTTCAGTAAGCATGACAAAATCATTTTCCAGAGGCAAGATAATAGGTGATTATTACTTATCTTCATCTTTAAATTGTAGAATGTAAAAAAAAACAGTTTAGAATTCATTTTATTAACAAACATTGCACTGGCAGGACTGAGATTAAAGTGTTATGATATTAAGGTCTGATGAACCCCTGATGAACCCCAAACTGAGTAAAGAGATGGGGAATCATACTTAACGCAGGATCATTATTTTTGCAAAATTAGTTTAGGATATAGTAGGGGAGGGTTAAATCGCCTCTCAGGTTTGTTTTTTCTGTCTGATTCCCATTGGAGAGATTTTTCCTTCAGCTCCTGGCTCACAGACACAAAAGGGTGTGAAAGGAAATGTTTACAAAATGAGGGGGAATCCCCCTTTAGACAGTTGTCATTGGAACAGATGACCCCATCAGAAGATTTACCCTAGTCTCTTGTTCTTGCAACAAACATTACATTTTGGATCTTCCATCACTTTGTGTCCCAGTGACAATGGCCACCAAACAGTGAATCCTTCAACAAGGGACCCAAATGACAATAAAAAACAGACAGGGTGTTTTAACCCTTTCTCACTCCTTCCAAAAGTAAAATAAAAATGTTTGTCTGTAGACAGCTTTTAAACCAAACCCAAATGGAAATGTAAAATTTTGTGCAATGAAAAGGAAAATGAAAGCGAATGTTGCCCATAATAATCTTTAGTGTAAATTAAAACTAATGTTGGTTGCTATAGGCCACAACTGAACTCAAGTTGCTCCAGTTTTCATAGCTGAGCCCATATTGACACAAACTATAGCAATAGATATAGATAGATAGATAGATAGATAGATAGATAGATAGATAGAGATGAGCGAATTATTCAAAAATTCAATTCGGCTGATTCGCCGAATTTGCGGGAGAAATTCGATTCGATGCAAATTTATTCGCCGCGAATTTAACTTATTTAAAGGGTTTCTAGGCTTCAGAGAGCCTTTATATTAGTGCAGAACACTGTACCTTTAATTTAAATGCCCTTGGAGTCTGCTGGGGAAGAGAAATAATACTGTCAGTCAGTATGACATGCAGATGAGTGCCGTCGATCTTAGAATCACCGCACACTTCACTCATTTGGGCAGTCACGGGGCACGACAAAGAAGAAGAAGAAGAAGAAGAATGAAAAGAAGAAGAAGAATGAAAAGAAGAAGAAGAAGAAGAAGAAAAGAAGAATGAAAAGAAGAAGAAGAAGAATGAAAAGAAGAAGAAGAATGAAAAGAAGAAAAAGAAGAAGAAGAAGAATGAAAAGAAGAAGAAGAAGAATGAAAAGAAGAATGAGAAGAAGAATGAAAAGAAGAATGAGAAGAAGAATGAGAAGAATGAAAAGAAGAATGAGAAGAATGAAAAGAAGAATGAAAAGAAGAAGAATGAAAAGAAGAAGAAGAATGAAAAGAAGAAGAAGAATGAAAAGAAGAAGAAGAAGAATGAAAAGAAGAATGAAAAGAAGAAGAAGAATGAAAAGAAGAAGAAGAATGAAAAGAAGAATGAACTATATTACTATATCAGTCTCTAATGGATGCTGGACAGTTAAACCCCTAACACCTGCTGTGCCCATTATGAGGGGTTCCCACCATCCCTGTGCTGAGGTTCTGGGTATGCACACCTGATGTGCCCATTATGAGGGGTTCCCACCATCCCTGTGCTGAGGTTCCAGGTCTGCACACCTGCTGCGCCCATTATGAGAAGTTCCCACCATCCCTGTGCTGAGTTCCTAGGTCTGTACACCTGCTCTGCCCATTAGGAGGAGTTCCCACCATCCCTGTGCTAAATTCCTGGGTCTGTACACCTGCTGTTCCCATTATGAGGGGTTTCTACCATCCCTGTGCTGAGGTCCCAGGTCTGCACACCTGCTGCTCCCATTACTGGGGGTTCCCACCATCCCTGTGCTGAATTCCTGGGTATGCACACCTGCTGTGCCTATTATGAGGGATTCCCACCATTCCTGCACTGAGTACCTGAGTCTGTACACCTGCCAAAAGAAAGTTTCAGGATTTTGAAGGAGCAAAATACAGTAATACTGGAACAAAAATGAGCTGCGTGGTGGAGTTGCCAGAAGAAGAAGAAAAGAAGAAGAATGAAAAGAAGAATGAAAAGAAGAAGAAGAAGAATGAAAAGAAGAAGAAGAAGAATGAAAAGAAGAATGAAAAGAAGAAGAAGAAGAATGAAAAGAAGAAGAAGAAGAATGAAAAGAAGAATGAAAAGAAGAAGAAGAAGAATGAAAAGAAGAAGAAGAATGAAAAGAAGAATGAAAAGAAGAAGTAGAATGAAAAGAAGAATGAAAAGAAGAAGAAGAAGAATGAAAAGAAGAAGAAGAATGAAAAGAAGAATGAAAAGAAGAAGAAGAAGAAGAATGAAAAGAAGAAGAAGAAGAATGAAAAGAAGAATGAAAAGAAGAAGAAGAAGAAGAATGAAAAGAAGAATGAAAAGAAGAAGAAGAAGAATGAAAAGAAGAAGAAGAAGAATGAAAAGAAGAAGAATGAAAAGAAGAATGAGAAGAATGAAAAGAAGAAGAAGAATGAAAAGAAGAATGAAAAGAAGAAGAAGAATGAAAAGAAGAAGAAGAAGAATGAAAAGAAGAATGAAAAGAAGAATGAGAAGAATGAAAAGAAGAATGAAAAGAAGAAGAAGAATGAAAAGAAGAATGAGAAGAAGAATGAAAAGAAGAATGAGAAGAAGAATGAGAAGAATGAAAAGAAGAATGAGAAGAATGAAAAGAAGAATGAGAAGAATGAAAAGAAGAATGAGAAGAAGAAGAAGAAGAATGAAAAGAAAAGAAGAATGAAAAGAAGAATGAAAAGAAGAAGAAGAAGAATGAAAAGAAGAATGAAAAGAAGAATGAAAAGAAGAAGAATGAAAAGAAGAATGAAAAGAAGAAGAAGAATGAAAAGAAGAATGAAAAGAAGAATGAACTATATTACTATATCAGTCTCTAATGGATGCTGGAGAGTTAAACCCCCTAACACCTGCTGTGCCCATTATGAGAGGTTCCCACCATCCCTGTGCTGAGGTTCTGGGTATGCACACCTGCTGTGCCCATTATGAGGGGTTCCCACCATCCCTGTGCTGAGGTTCCAGGTCTGCACACCTGCTGCGCCCATTATGAGAAGTTCCCACCATCCCTGTGCTGAGTTCCTGGGTCTGTACACCTGCTCTGCCCATTAGGAGGAGTTCCCACCATCCCTGTGCTAAATTCCTGGGTCTGTACACCTGCTGTTCCCATTATGAGGGGTTTCTACCATCCCTTGTGCTGAGGTCCCAGGTCTGCACACCTGCTGCGCCCATTACTAGGGGTTCCCACCATCCCTGTGCTGAGGTTCTGGGTATGCACACCTGCTGTGCCCATTATGAGGGGTTCCCACCATCCCTGTGCTGAGGTTCCAGGTCTGCACACCTGCTGCACCCATTATGAGAAGTTCCCACCATCCCTGTGCTGAGTTCCTGGGTCTGTACACCTGCTCTGCCCATTAGGAGGAGTTCCCACCATCCCTGTGCTAAATTCCTGGGTCTGTACACCTGCTGTTCCCATTATGAGGGGTTTCTACCATCCCTGTGCTGAGGTCCCAGGTCTGCACACCTGCTGCTCCCATTACTAGGGGTTCCCACCATCCCTGTGCTGAGGTTCTGGGTATGCACACCTGCTGTGCCCATTATGAGGGGTTCCCACCATCCCTATGCTGAATTCCTGGGTCTGTATGTACACCTGCTGTGTCCATTGTGAGGGATTCCCACCATTCCTGCACTGAGTACCTGAGTCTGTACACCTGCCAAAAGAAAGTTTCAGGATTTTGAAGGAGCAAAATACAGTAATACTGGAACAAAAATGAGCTGCGTGGTGGAGTTGCCAGAAGAAGAAGAAGAAGAAAAGAAGAAGAAGAAGAAGAATGAAAAGAAGAATGAAAAGAAGAAGAAGAAGAATGAAAAGAAGAAGAATGAAAAGAAGAAGAAGAAGAATGAAAAAAAGAAGAAGAATGAAAAGAAGAAGAAGAAGAAGAATGAAAAGAAGAAGAAAGAAGAATGAAAAGAAGAATGAAAAGAAGAATGAAAAGAAGAAGAAGAAGAATGAAAAGAAGAAGAAGAATGAAAAGAAGAATGAAAAGAAGAAGAATGAAAAGAAGAAGGAGAAGAATGAAAAGAAGAAGAAGAAGAATGAAAAGAAGAAGAAGAATGAAAAAGAAGAAGAAGAAAAGAAGAATGAAAATGAAAAGAAGAATGAAAAGAAGAAGAAAAGAAGAATGAAAAGAAGAAGAAGAAGAAATGAAAAGAAGAATGAAAAGAAGAAGAAGAAGAATGAAAAGAAGAAGAAGAATAATGAAAAGAAGAATGAAAAGAAGAAAAAGAAGAAGAATGAAAAAGAAGAAGAAGAATGAAAAGAAGAATGAAAAGAAGAAGAAGAAGAATGAAAAGAAGAAGAATGAAAAGAAGAATGAAAAGAAGAAGAATGAAAAGAAGAAGAAGAAGAATGAAAAGAAGAAGAAGAATGAAAAGAAGAAGAAGAATGAAAAGAAGAATGAAAAGAAGAAGAAGAATGAAAAGAAGAATGAAAAGAAAGAAGAAGAAGAATGAAAAGAAGAGAAGAAGAATGAAAAGAAGAATGAAAAGAAGAAGAAGAAGAATGAAAAGAAGAAGAATGAAAAGAAGAATGAAAAGAATAGGAAGAAGAAGAATGAAAAGCAGAAGAAGAAGAATTAAAGAGAAGAAGAAGAAAGAATGAAAAGAAGAATGAAAAGAAGAAGAAGAAGAATGAAAAGAAGAAGAAGAATGAAAAGAAGAAGAAGAATGAAAAGAAGAAGAAGAAGAATGAAAAGAAGAATGAAAAGAAGAAGAAGAAGAATGAAAAGAAGAAGAAGAAGAAGAAAAGAAGAATGAAAAGAAGAAGAAGAAGAAGAATGAAAAGAAGAAGAAGAAGAATGAAAAGAAGAAGAAGAAGAATGAAAAGAAGAATGAAAAGAAGAAGAAGAAGAATGAAAAGAAGAAGAAGAAGAAGAAGAAGAAGAATGAAAAGAAGAAGAATGAAAAGAAGAAGAAGAAGAAGAATGAATGAAAGAAGAAGAAGAAGAATGAAAAGAAGAATGAAAAGAAGAAGAAGAAGAATGAAAAGAAGAAGAAGAATGAAAAGAAGAAGTATTCCAGTACAGCAAAAAGTGTATCTGCAGAGAGCTCCGCTATTTCTGACAGTTCTCTGACAGTTCCTTCACATTTACAGCGGTTGAAACATTGTATCTATTTATTTCCGAATAAAAACATCTGTATCCTAAATGGAAACAAATAGATACAATGTTTCAACCGCTGTAAATGAACTGTCAGAACTGTCAGAAATAGCGGAGCTCTCTGCAGTGACACTTTTGCCGGCTGATCGGGAAAAAATTCGATTCGTGCACCCGAAGTTGGCTAAAATTCGGATTCGATGCGAATCGAATTTTTCCCGATATTCGAAACGAATTCCACTTTGCCTGGTTCGATTCGCTCATCTCTAATAGATAGATAGATAGACGTACGTCTGAGGAATAGTTAAGTAAAGTAAGTCATTTATCCCAAGTTTCCTACAGGGTTACACTTGTGGCAGAGTGCTTAATTACTCACCATACACAGATGCTGGAGTAGGCTCCTTTAACCACTTCAGCTCCAAAAGGTTTTACCCCCTTCATGACCAGGCCACTTTTTGCTATTTGGCACTGTGCTAATTTAAATAGTAATTGCGTGGTCATGCAATGCTGTCCCCAAACAAAATTTATATGTTTTTTTCCCACACAAATAGAGCTTTCTTTTGGTAGTATTTGATCACTGCTCAGTTTTTTATTTTTTTATTATATGAATGAAAAAGACCAAAAAAAAAGACAGTATGGTTTTACTTTTAGCTATTAAGCATATTTAAGAAAAAAATAAGAAAACAAAATCTAATTTCTTCATAAATTTTTGCCAAAATGTATTCTGCTACATGTCATTGGCAAAAAAAAAATCCCAATAAGTGTATATTGACTGATTTGCATGAAAGTTATACCGTCTACAAACTATGGTATATACTGTGTATTGGAATTTTGTTTTATACTACTAATGGTGGTGATCAGTGACTTATAATGGCAATGCAATAGTGTGGAAGACAATCTGACACTAACTGATGTTGGGGGGGGGGGGGACTGACTAACTGCCACTCATATCACTAGTGACACTAATACAGTGATCAGTGATAATACTATACACTGTCACTATATTAATGTCATTGGCTGGGAAGGGGAAACATCTAGGGTGATTAAGGGGTTAAATGTGTGCCTAACAATGAGTAATGTGTGTAATGTGTCCTGCTTTTACTTTTTCTTTGTTTCTTATTCGTGTTTTGCAGGAGAGAGATTGTTCCACCTTTTTATTTTTGTCACCTATACATTTGTCCTGAAGAGGATGGGCTTCCCTTTGAAACATGTTACTGCCCCCCTTTCACCACCCACCTCTCCCAGGAACACATGGGGATTACCACGAGGCAGACTACAGCGCTCCAGAAAGCTGAGCTCCGACAGGTCTCTGACAGCACAAATCCTGTTTTTTTTTTTTATTACCCTTACATTTTTTGAGTATTTAAAGTGAACATGGGTTCACCTTACTCTCATTCACTCTACAAACAAAGCACCAGAAAGTCTCCAGAGCCAGAATGGAGCATGCACTTGAGCAGATATGACATCACAGGGAGAATGGATCGGTGCCAGATGCCAGGCTACGCACTTGACCTAACTGCTCCTTCTAAGGCCTATAGAGGCTTCTTTTCAGTGTTACCTCACATGATGATATCACATTTAAAATAACATAGTTCGATATGTAATTAATTTTGTAGTAACAAAACAAATGTGTGTGACCAGTGGGATAAATGTACAGTGTGTACCTTCTAGTATCTATTTTGGCTATGAAATCTTTGAAATTTTTATCATCCGACTTTCATGTGTGCAATCACTGAAAATTGGAAAAGTAGAATTTGTTATGTAGCAGTTAAATGTATTAAAATATACATTGTGATAATTCCATCTCTGCAGAATGTACCTTCTTGGAACTTGATTCCTGCCATGTAAAGGACAATTGCATTTATTAAAGTCCACCTCCAGCACAAGCCTTTTTATAAAAGTGTCTGTATCTTCCTTTCCTGGCACACATCATGGCAGCATACGATCGTTGTGGCTCTGCCCCTCAACCTGATAGGACTGGTTAGCTATAAATCAAAGACAAACCCTGCTCACAGCCTTCTCCTTTTTGTCCCACTACCAGTGCCTTCCCTTCGGTCTGTTCATCTCCCCCAGGACATTCACAAAGGTCTTACTGTAAGCCATAACGAGGGGCATGAGAATACACTGCTACTTGGACAGCATTCTTCTTTTAGCCAGAAACTGGGAGATTCTAATCCAGCATCTGGATGCTTTGCTAGCAGGGAACCAGGAGTCAAACCCTAATGTTGGAAGTGCGACTTTTAGTCAATGGAGTTCAGATTCATCGGGAAGACTTGAGGGCAGTCTATGTGCCAGCAACTCAAAATCAGTTAGCAGACTCATTGAGAAGCTACTTTAGCTCAAAGAACAAATGGTCCCTCAGCTGGGGTTTTTAGTCAGTTAATTCTGAAGGGGTATCTCCCCAGGTGGATTTAGCGTCAACTCCCTGGAATACAAAATGGGGCAGATTCCTAGAGTATCCTACCAAACAGTGAAGGGTAGACTTCTTAGACTGACAGTGGAGTTTCCAGTTGAGGCATATCTATCCCCCAATGCCAAATTCTTAGCTGGACTCCAGTAACAATATTTGCAATTCCAGTAACAATATTTGCAATTATACCAATTTTACTGAGGAGGCTCTGGTTTCTGTCTCTCCTGCAGTTGAACATTGAGTCAAGACTGCTTCTGTCAGTAACACCTGATCTGCTTTCTCAAGGCCAGTTTTTTTGCTAAGGAGATTTTCCCCATGTTCACAGTTCCTTGGGAATTCCATACACCCCTCAACCCTATCCAATTTCAATACCCCTTAATTAAAAAAACAAAACAAAACAAGCTTAAGGACTATTTACTGTCTCCAGTCTGAAGAAAAGGTGTGTTGCCTGGCTGTGCAGGACTATAGGGGGACCCAAAAACTCAGCAACTCCTAAGGGGGTAGTGTTACATGTGGGGACTCGTAATTCCAGGATCTCCTATAGTAACCTGCATGACTGTTGCCCCTAGCAACTGGGAACCAACGAGCCAGCAAAAGTGTTGTTTGCTGCTGAAAGAGTCATGGAGCCAGGCGATAAAGTTGGGTTGTGCTGTGCTGCTGGAATTGTGACTGTTGCTGTCATTAAAGTGCCTTTGCTGATGAAAATCATGCCAAGCCTGTCTACAAGTCATACTGCTGCTCTACAGGTGGCTGATGTGAAAGACTATGCTCAATTTTTATCTACCAAAGCCAGTCCATTACTGTCCTGCTTTCTGTTGCTAGGAGCAAATGAAGCGTCCCATCAGCATCTA